AAGAATGTCTTCTAATCTAGAAAGCTTTGCAAAGCACGTGAAAAACAGTCAAGAAGCTTTAAACCCACAGACCTACTGTTGTCCACACACTTTACTTTCCATAACCTGCCATGCCAAGTTCATGCATTGCATTTTTGTTCACTTGTTTGCTTTCAGATGTGAATCAGCGTTAATGAACATCTGCTCTGAAGGTGCTTTGCAGTGCCTGAGCAAACTGGCTCCATCCAGTACTGACAGCCATGGCTGTGTGTATCCAGGAGGTAAGGCAGTTGTTTTCTATTACGAGTGTGATTTTCCTCAGCTCCTGCTTTAACTCATTACTCAACCCAGAGGACAATCAGCTCATGTTTATTAGCCGTAACAGGGGAAATGGCTTCATGACTCCCTTCCGACACTGAAGCCCCATCCACCCCGGGAATTTCTGAAAATGCATTTATCAAATGTAGCAGTGACAAAAAACAAATCCATCCATCTATCTATGTAAAAAATAAATATTAAATGTGAAACAACCTTCCATTTTTCCCTCTCTCTCTATGAAATGAAATACCTTTTCTTCCCCTTACTCCACGCTGTGAATAACAGCACAATGCATGGAGTGACTCACTGTGTTTGTTTGGTATTTGTGATGCTTTGTTTCCAACACTGGAATGGCCACTTATGGGCAATTAGTCATGCTGAGTAGGCTTCACCTCCACCTCGTCGCTGACACACACAAGAAAATGTATGTTTAAATGGAATAAACTACGCAACTGCAGACTGAACAATCTGACAGTAGGCAGGGGGGAAATCTGTTGCTCATTTGGCGTTAGTAGACAGCAGAGGACTTAGCACACACATTATTGTTGGAATAAAAGCAGGAGCTTTAATCCAAAATCAATACTCTGACCCAGAGGTCTGTGGAGTCTCAGGCTTTCAATACTTTTATAGCAATTACGACAAATCATGCATTTTACTAATTGTTTTTCATTGAATTGAAAATAACTGAATATGCTTCATGGACTTGTTACCATCTGCTTCCTAACAGTTTACAAAGTAATCATACATAATTCTACTCATGAGAGGTCGGTCTTTCGCAGTGAAATGATGTTATTATTACTATGGGCTGTATTATCTGAATGACATGGCCATTAAAGTGACTCAATCTTTCTCAGAGAACAAGAATCACCCAAAGACAATTTGCAAGTGTAAAATGGATTATGGTATACCAAGAACCACAATGGATATAACGGTTGTGAAAGATAAAAGAAGGCTGCAAATCCCTGAAATGGGACATACCTTGTTGGCATCATATTTATTCTGCTAGTGTGGAGAATCCTATTGATTGGTGGCAAATTATCTGTCCTAAGTAATTACAGACCCCTCTACGCCTCAGAGGAAGTGGTCCAGTCTTGAAAGGAAGAAGAAAAGTCAAACGGAGCAGGATATAACCACTGTTACCGGGCGAAGACAGAGGCAGGCTTATGTAGGTCAATATAGATCATGGATCAGTGAAGAGTGAACTAATGCTGAGTGTCACAGGTGCAAATACCCGTCGTCTTAGGTAAGTGCATCTGACGCACCTGCTGCCTCCCTGAACACAGAGACGTCACTGTGTTTTTATTACAGAAATATGATCTCTGAGGACATTCAGAGTCACAGTGATTTGGTTTGATCCAGAAAAATAAACAAAACGTGACTTTTCTTTCAAAATTATAAATCCTCTGTGCTGGCTGGCTTAGAAGTGCAAGTACTAGAAGGAAAAGCTGTAAGCATTTTTATTTATTTTTCCCTGAAGAAATTCTGAAAATGAAGAAAGTGGAAAATTCAACCATCTCTTATCAGCAGTAAACATCAGGTTGCTTCATTGCACCACTTTTTGCAACAAGTCACACAAGAAGAAATCCCTATAAATGTAGCCACTAAACTTTTAGAACTTGCTTTTTCTACAAATCAGACAAATTTACAAAAATCACTATGGTTGAACAGAACAATCTTTAGAGTGTATACACATGTATACTGCACATTTTGCCCAGGACCCCCAAAATGTGCTATTTATATATCACAAGCCACACTCTAAAGATTGTTCTGTTCCTTTTGGTTGCATGCTTTGTATTCAAAAGCATCTTAGGATTTGGGTTGTTTTTGGTCAATATAACAAAATCATGCGTTGTATCTTTCAATACATTCAATTACTACAATGGTGGCCCCCTGGTGGCTGAGGTTTGCTTTTGCCTTGTCATTACTTCATCCAGCGGGTACACATTTGAGAGATTGGTGTTTTCTGCCTGTATGAAGTTACAGTAATAGTGCAAATTGTTGCCTTTCTAAAAGAATTACTGTTACAAGTTTCCCAGACAAAACATCCGTGAATCAATTCGTACTGGCAGCTAACATGCAGTTATGATTCACTGACCGTTTATATGGTTTTTCAAGGCTGACATTTGGTTGAAAGACAAGATCATATAGTGTATAGTGAAGCCCTCAGAGAAAAAAGGAATCTCAAATGCCAACATTCAGGCTGTGGAGGTATAATCTGTCTCCAAACACACAAAAATACTGAATGTCACAGCGGACAATACAAACACACATGCAAATTGGTGAACGAGAACACTTTAACACCTGCATGTGACATGGATATAAGATTGCTTTGCTCTCCTTAGTCACTGTACATATTTCAATCGCAACTCCCTCCTTGGCAAACTTTGAGGTCTCCCATGCTTGCAAAATCCATCCCACATTGTTGATACATGTTAAGGCATGCCTTGTTGACCTGCTGATTGCATTTTCAAACGGTGGCTGCTCAGGATGACTGCATGAATATTCCCTCTGTTCCCTACCTGCGAGCTTGATGGGATTAATAAAGTGCAAATGCACATACTCTGCTGTAACAAGCTAAATCCCCCCGGCCGAATTGTTAACAATACCCACTGTATGAAGTCTTTTAGGAAATAGAAATAGAAAAAGTTCAATGAATAAGCCACAAAATATATGCATTCACCTCAGGTCTACAGATATAAATGCAGGGTCATTCTGCAAGTGAGCATAAACACTGGAGCATGAAAGCTTTTAATACGCTTTGCTTAAACATATATGTGACCAGCAGTTGCCTTAAGGTTGCAGAAATGTGCTTGTGACCAGAGGATTGATGACGTAAAACCCTGGAATGACCCCTCACTCTACAGTACATACTACAGTGGAGCTACTTAGTGACTGGGATTGTACTGGGAGTGTCCATGCCCAGTAAAGTTGCTCCTCCTTCTATCCTGTCATGGTGACATCTGCTCTGTCCTCCTCTCTTCTGCCTCACGTTCACCTGACTAAAGTCTGCACTCTGAAACAGTCACTCTTGTGTTTATTCTACCTTGCTTTTATAGTCTTACACCAGCAGCCCACGTGGTTATATTTCAATCTGTTTCCCCTGTGTTAACTAAATCTTGCAGACAAAGCAAGTAAAACTGCTGTTTAACAGGCGAGACGTGTGTTATTTAAATCTCCAAGCAATGAGCGCCGAACCATAATAATCACACTCGTTTTAAAATGCACCACTGAACATCAACTACGCAGTCATATTTGCTTAAGTTAAAGATTTTAATAATTCCTGCCTGTGACATTCTAGCAGTAATTTCCAACACCTTATATTTCTACACTAGGCTAATTCTGGCTGGGACTCTACAGTAACACTATTACTACTGTACATGTAGTAGACATATTTTCTTAGTTATCACTATAAGATGAGGTTTAGAGACAAGTCTGGAGAGAAATTAAAAATGGGAAAGAATCTTACTATCTTTAAACACTTGATGTTGATCAAAACAATCTGCCTGAGCCTTTGTTTTTCAAGTTTAGGATTCAAATACCTCCTTCTATACAGGTCTGAGGTGGTGGTTGACAAGGAAGACCTCACACAGGTAGGAGAGAGAACTATAGTAAAAATTACAAGTAAAAAATTTAATGAAAAGTGATACAATGGATCTTTATGTCAATATTTATTCTGTAAGAATTTCACACAGCATGTGTGTGAATGAACTATGTGCTCTCTGGGCTGAAACATTTGCAGTCCGTTTGGTGTTTGTGTTATCTGTGTACAATAAAACTCTGATATGAATCACATACCTAAGATTGCATAGAGACTTGCTGCTGCAGCAGCACTGTGACTGATTCTGTACATACTGTGTGTAGAGCAAGGGTGTAACTTGAGTGGGGCACACAGGTTTCCAGCACACAAGTCCATAGTGACTCATGGAGGTGTCTTTGTAAAACACAGCTTTAATTAGCCTAAAGAAAGCATCAGTCCAGCTTGATTTACAATCTCTTGCAAAGTTGCAGTGTAAGGTCGGCTCTTTATCTTGCTAAAATTTACCTTGTTGAGAAAGTACCACGGCCCAGAAAGTGTTTTTACAACACTGTCAGCATTTTCTTTCTGAAGGCTGTGCACTAATAAAGAGAACAAACAGATTTTCTCCTCAGCTCTGATACTCTGCCAGACCGCAACTCAGGAATACCGTGGGTACTCAAGTGGCCCTGCAAAATACTGTTATGGTAATGCAATAGTGTGGCTATGTATTCTAAGATAGATAAATAGATAGATAGATAAAAAGATAGAAAGATAGCAAGATAGCTATAGATAGATAGATTGGTGATTGCTATTTTTATTTCCCTCTAATATTCTATATAGAAAACAGTATACTTTAATTTGCATGTGATAGGCCTAGACTGAATGCATTAATAGTTTTACAGTATTTAAGATATGAAAGATCATTAAAAGACATGTGAATCTAAGTGTTGCTGGAATAATTGGGATGTTTTCATCTCTGAGGTTAATTGCATTGTGACTTGCTTTGTGAATGGAGCAGCCAGCCAGCACTCCTCCTCCTCCTCCCCCTCCTCCTCCTCCTCCAGGAGCAGCAGTGCCAAATTGGAGCGCAGGATGCCCAGGTGCCAGCAGAAAAAAAATGGGATTAGATATCAGATCAGCCAAGCACGGAAACAGACTCAACTACCTCTGATTTCCACCCCCCCATGTAGCTCCATCCCTTCGCCGCTCCATATCCCCATGAATGCAGGAAGAATCAAGGTTGGGTGCCAATCCCTCACCTCGCTCGCCGTGCGCCCTCCCTCCCTCCTCCTCCGTGTAATACAAACCTCGTGATCGCCCATTCAGCAGTGCCTGCGTCTGCTGCTGCTGCTTTTTTTTTGGGGGGGGAAATAATAAGCCGACTCGCCGAGGGGGAGGCAAGCCAAAAGTATCCGGGAGACAGACAGGTGTCGCGGAAGTTTACACTTGCAGAGGCGCATCCCTCCGCGTCTTTTTTTTTTTGTCAGTATCTGGGATAACGTGAAAGAGACTGTAACTGGCGGTCATCCGGCACCCACTGATCCTGTGTAAGTGATTCTCCACATCAACTCACTGCGAATAGGTGAATGTTAGCCTGTTTTAATGAGCAGGGATGAATGAAACATGAGCCTCAGTGTCAGGGGTCTGCTTTAGATGTGCGATTTAGAAGCTCGGCGAATGCTTGCATACCTTAATATGACAAATGCACGTTTCTGCGAAATTTCTTTGATCACCTCTTCACTGCCGTTTGCTGCAAGCTGCCCGAATCACTGTCCATATATAGGGGCTAAATGCTGGCATTGATTTCACACTGATGCTATCAGTGAGGTAGGATGAATGATATGAATAGGTGGTGGTTTTTTTTTTTTTTTAAATGAGGAAAGTGCGGCATTTTCTTGCGGGATGTGAGGTGGATGTGATCAGGTGAATTTGTCTCACAGCTCGACACAGTCCAGAGTGCTGGAAAGAAAACTAAAACCATTTGCAGGAGGTGCAGGATGTGACTCATCTTTTTTTTTCTTTTTTTAACATAGGAGCACTCCACACGTTTTGGTTTAATTAGCAGGAGTTGTTGGAAGTGTTTTGTGTGTTTGGGCCATGTTTGCAGAGAAACCTTTAACCCAAAGGAATGCAAGCTGGAAATCCCCTTTTGGCAGCCCCTCTGAGTGGGTGTGCAGGTGGATTTATTTCTGTTGTTTTGTGGTGATGTTTGTCACCTGTTGACAATAATACTGGGTCATCTTGGGAAAGCTTTTTAGGGAGACACCAAGAATACATTCATCCACGTGTTGGATGAATCAGTCGGCTATTCTGAGCAATTCATTCAAGAAAAAACAGAGATCACTCAGCCAGGATTACAACGCATTCTTAGAGTTTGTGCCACAGCCATTCTTAACACTTTGTCACATGCACAGTTAGGCAGGGGAGGATTCATTTGGCATCTGTTTTGGTTCTAACACTTCAGGTCAAAATGCATGTACAGAATGTGTAGTGTGTGTGTGTGTGTGTGTGTGTGTGTGTGTGTGTGTGTGTGTGTGTGTTCACAGATCAGCTGCAGCATTCTCACCTTGCCAGCCTCCTCTCTTGCTCTGCATAGAGTGGTAATTGGCCAGGTAGCGATGGATGTGACACAGCAGGTAGATGTCAACCAGTGACAAATGATCTAGGGCTCTTCCTTGTACTGAGCCTCACATGGATTCGAATGTATCCCACTGTGTGTGGGTACAGTACAGGAAGTGGGAGTCTTTATTTGGTGTGTTCACCAAATATGACATACTAGGCAAGTTCAATTCTAAGTCTAAGCTTCATTAAGGTGGGAATATTCTTATCCACAGTGTTAGCTTGGAAAAAAGACCTATACTATAAATACTATAATAGGTAATTTTCACAGCAGACATTTTGACAGGTAAAGCACATAGGTGTTACTAATCACATTAACAATGACACTGTTTTATTTGTGTCCCAGTGAGCCAGAGGTGGCAAAAGTACACATATTCTTTTACTCAACTTCTTTACTGAAGTAAAAGTAAAAAAGTACAGGCTCTGAAAGCAAGTCGAAGTACAACAGTAAAAATTCTCTCTTTGTTTGTCTGAAGGACATTTCTACCAGCCATTTCTGTGCAAAGCTTTCTGAAACCTCGTCTCTTATGAATTTTCGTCATGTTACGTCTGTCATATGTGAGGGCATGCAATGATGCAAATAATATATAAATTCACACAAATGCATTAAAACTGAAGTAACAAGCCTGTTTTGAAAATGTAAGGAGTAGAAAGAACAGATATTTCTGTAAAAAAAAAGGTAGGGGGTAAAAGTAAAAACAGTCAAGTAAAGTACAGATATTAACTAAAAACTGCTTAAGTACACTAAGTATTTGTTCTTAGTTCCCATCCCTGGAGCCAGCATGCACAATGCCAGGACCCCAAAGCTGAAGCAGCAAAAATGGAACTCAGCCATCATTGATCCTACTGTGACATGCCAAAATGTCTTCTGTAAAAAAGGTCTATTGTCCAGATATCAACAGTAGAAATGACACATTGTGGAAGTTGGCGCTCACAAACATTCGGTGTCTACCGGGTGTGTTCACATAGGACAATTGGTGCCAAACCTTGGTTATGTAGTTGCCATTTTGAGTCAGGTACATTATATTCAAGTATATATATATATATATACTCACAGACATAATGCCTTTTGAACCTTTTGTGCTTTAATGTACTTCTACTACTGTTCTGGCCACATTTTACATCCACGTATGGCATACAGATCACTGATGCAATATACATTTTCAAGACATTACTCTGTTTTTCTTCCTTCCTTTCCCCCTATCCACTGCACCACAGTTTGCTTCAGTAGTGTTGAGGTGGGTCTTACCACATAAAAAAGGGATGTTAAGGCATATATGTGTTTAATGCTGATATTGCTATCGGCCAACATTCTGCATATTATGCAGATTTTCTGAAGCATTTCCATTAACTGCCCTAACTCACTTGCAGGTGCTTATGGCGTTTGTAGCCACTTACACTGCTCTTCCCTTAAGGATGTTAAGCATAAATGATTTCTTGGTTTATTGGTGGTTCTCATAAATTTATGACTGCTGACGGGTCTGTTCACACTATGAGCTGTGCTTCTTGCTGTGGAGCATCTGGAGGAATCGAGATTTTAAGCTGACATACCGTATGTGCCCTAACCTAAAAATTGAAATTCAGTCCTGTTGTCTACTATTCTTGTTGCTTCACTTTTATCCTCTCATGGTGTCATTTTGACAGATACTGGTCATATCCTTGGTTGCAAAAACACCTTGAACACCTATGTTTCTGCTGTCACATGGGTGTAGGGAGACAAATGACCAGAGAGACAAAGAAAGGCCATTACACAAAAAAACAAAAGGTGTTTTTAAGGCATTACAGTTAGCTATTCCCGCATATTTTCAAGCACAGTGTGTGACAATCTGCAGCGCCCAATCATAAAAGCATCACACACACTCTAATGCAGAGTACTATGAGTGGAAAATGCAGATCTGCAAAGTCAGTCCACTGTATTCACCTTCAGTCCAAATAGTCATTTCAGTGAAGTCGTTCTCAATCTCCTTCCCTCTGGCTGTGACGAAACGCTGATCCAATGGAGAGTGTCTAAAACAAGCAGTTCATTTAGTGCTTGGCTGCACCTGCCCTTTTAGCGCTCCAACCGGGCCCTGTCCTCAGCTCGCCCATCCTCTGCTTACTCTCTGAAGTGATAGACAGCAGCAGAGCCAAGTGCTCTGCAGCACCACGTAGGATGTGGTGTTTTTATCGTGTGTATTTGAGATTATTTAGTATCAGTGTGTGCATATTTTCATTGAAGACATGGTTGATTGATTCACATAGTCTTTCCTTTGGGGAAAATGCAGGTTCCTCTTCATCTACTGAGAGATGCATTAGTATGACCTATTTTCCTTCTGAAGTCATTCTCTCTCTTTCTCTCTCTCAGCACTGAGGTTGTCAGTCTGAACGTGTTGCTCTTGTAAGCTGACAGTATTACACTGGTACACTTCATTGTAGTGCCGGTCAAAATGTGACAGTAGTGACCAAAGTTATATTTTTATATTGCTGGGTGTGTTTCAACTGAGAAGACCGCTTGTCTTCAAAATGAATTCACACAAGAATTGTTCAAAGGTTACCACTGATAAAATAATGAGCTTCAAAAGAGCATTTTACAATACTCACTTCCAATCATCTGGCTGATTGGTGCCTACAGCAGCCGGCTGTAGATTTACAAAGCAAATCATAATCATTTAAATCCCCATAATTCCCTGGATGCAGTTCTGAAAATAACATAATCTGAAACACTAGATCCTTGGTTGGAAAATTTGTTGTTGCAGCCGTAACTACCATGCAGAAAATAAAAGTGAAAATTAAACACAGAATATTTTGAATGGGGTTATACTGTTTATCATTGACAGTTTCAACACTAGAAACATGTTAAAAATTGATTAATGGAAATGTTTGTATTGATTATAGCACTGTAGGTTGTAGAGAAGTAAATTGTTTGTCTTGAATCAGTACCACATTAAAAATACACCAAAAAGTGTCATTTACTTTGCAAATAACCTTTCATGACATGATTATTAAATTTAAAGATACACGTAATATAGTCCATAGCAGCTGTTAACATTTTGTGCAAAGCATATGAGTGCTGTCTCAGCTCAACACTAAGAATTATTCTCATATTAGGCAATTCTGCACATCCAATGCCAATGTTTAGTCCCAATGCAGGAAATACTGTCCCTATATGTAGTGAGGTGGAAAGTAAGGATGTCATATAGTGCATTGAACTCCCATGCTAGAGAGCTGAGTTCGCCACCCATCACAAACCTGCGATTAGCTTTTGCACTGAACTACTATAACTGCGATCTTTTCCTACCAGTTGCTTTTGTTATCTAACATTAATCATACCTTAACCACTTATATCTGCCATAGCCATGATCTTCCCTTTAAAAATCTTGGCACTGAGCCTAATTCTTGCAGAATCATCTAATATTGACATTCTTGGATAAATTGTATGTAGTATACAATAAAGACAGCTCACTTTTACACCACCTTATCAAGATGGTGTCCAGTTTAGTCAACAGCCTGTCTTTACTGAGACAACTGAACAACACTGGTGAAGCATTGAACCTCGGCGACAGTCTCCAATCAGTGTCACTTAAGGAAGGTTCTGCTATTGGAATAGCCCACACTCTTTTCCACTGGCTGATAGCTCATCTGTGCTATTGTTGCGGGCGTGTTAGTGGTGCGGCAGGGTGGTGACACTGCTCTACAGAAGAAGCGTGGCTTTGAGGCATATTTGTATGTGTGTGTACATTGTGTGCGTCTCGTTGGAAATTGTCACAAGTGAAAATGGATTGGCTGTGTGTACAGTTGGTGCCCTCTATGTGCGTCACTGAAGGTTCAGAGGCAGACACTCTCATAGACATTAATGAGGCTCCATCCCTGTCCTTGACACCACTCACTATAAAAAGAAGGCCTGAATAATTGCCTTCCCTTGTGGCTATACTATAATGGCCATACAGTAATGATACATTAATCCCCTCTATACATTAGGAGACTAACTGGGATTGAAGACAATATGTTAAACCAGCCTGTTGCAGTTGGTGTTGTAATAGGTTACAAAGCAGCTAAGTTGATTTTGCAGCTTCTAATTTTAGACTTATAAAGGGCTGAGAAGTTGTGAATGTGGCTTATTTGCAAGACATGAAGCTCTACAGTGCAGTGCTGTGAGAAAGTAGTCACCCCCTCTCAATTTCTTTGGATTTCTGCAGAGATTTAATTCTTAAACAGGCTTAGATACTTCTGTGGGTTCCAGTTGTAAATAAAAAGTCTGAGGACAAGGAAGAATTGGAGATCTTGAGGTGTGAAAAAAGACATTTTGTTGAAGAGAGTTAGATTGGAAGATTGATACCACTCTCATATCTGTCTGGTAAATGTAGTCTAAGGCTTCAGCCAGTAGCCGGTTAGCTTAGCTCATCATAAAGACTAAAGCAGTTGTAAACATCTAACTAGTCAGGCTCATGGCATATCCAGCACATGGTCAGCTGTAAAAACCACTATTTGTACTTTTTATACTTCAGATTTTGCAAATTAAACAAATAATATGACATAAGATCCCCTTGTTTCCAGCCTTTATGCTAAGCTAAACTAACCAGCAGGTTGTAGTTTCATATTTGCTGTATGGTTGTGGGAATGGTATCAATCATCTCATCACCTGACCATCAAATGATGGCCATGACTGAACATGTTGTTTTTTGCTACTTTTGCATACTAATGTAGTAAAGAAAACTTTAAATATACCCAATTTTGGTATCATTTAGTTCCTCAGATTACTTCTAATTGGCCCCACAGATGAATACTGTCAATGAACCAGGACCTGTTAATCTATTCAGAGGAATGTGAGGTTTATTGAGGTATATATTTGTTATATTTTATTGCCAACAACCTTCAAATTTTGTCAGCTCAGGCTCAGGTAATACAAGTAATATTGACTGTGACATGTAGGATCAGTCAGTATGTGACATGTGGCATATGTAGTAGCATTTGAGCATTTTGTCTCTAAAATGTGATTCTGTCAGACTGGGTAGGCTTTCCAGCAGTGAGGGCAAGGTCTGCAGCGGCTGAATGAGGAGCATTTGTGAATAGCATTGTGACAGTCTTTATTTACACTGTGTGATACCAGATGTCTGAGATTGAGAGATTTTACAGCTTTTTTCCACTGTAGCTGAGACTGTGACAAAAGCTTTTTCTCACACTTTGTGTGTGTGTGTGTGTGTGTGTGTGTGTGTGTGTGTGTGTGTTTGCTTTTGCCCTTGTGGATTATATATTCATACTCATACAAATGACTCATAAAAGCATCTGATGGAGATATCTTGTAAGGATGAAATAAAACAATAACTTGAAAAACAATATTTTTCTGCTTACCCTGAAGCTTTTCATCAAAGTGACAACCACTCTTCAATTTTAGACAAATGAACTGAAGTTTATTTTATTGCTCCAAAACATCCAACAGTGATTGATAATAAAATGCGTCTTCGGCATAAATGGAGCTAAATCTCACAGTAACACATATAGTGTACAATATTTCTTCCTGACCTTTAAAAGATAAAACATACCTCAGTTTTGTTGTTTGACAAAGTTCAACAGCAGTCTGTGTTGAGACAGGCCCTGAGCTGAACTGGAGGAATGAGTGATATGCTGAGTGAGAAGAGAGACGCTCTGTCGATGAAGCTATTGGCCCAATAATAGAACGGACATAATTGTCTGGCCTTCTGAGTCATCATTGCTCTCTCCACTGGCAGTGCTTTCCCATCTTGTTTAGACACCGCAGTTAATGGACCTTCTCCTTCTGTCCATCTCTCCATCTGTCTCTGCTTGTCTCTTCCTTCTGTCATCCCTCATTTTTATTTTTATGGGCCGGCCCCCACAATCTCACCTCTCTATCATCCTTTCTTCCCTTCTTTGCACATGTCTGTCTCACCCCTCAAATAAGAGATGTCAGACTTGTTTTTAAGTTAGTCCAATCGCAAATTTATTTAAGTAAAGTATTTAAGCACAAAAATTGAATCCATTTACTGTAGAACTTTTATTGAATGTGATTTATAGTGCAATCAAAAGTCCATTAACACACAAGATTTCACTAATATGCTGTAGAGCTAAATATCTTATTTGGATAGATAGCTTTTCCTTTATTCCTTTATTTGTCCCACAGTGGGGAAATTCCAATCTTACAGCAGCAAAGTGGATAGAGGAAAAACAGTATAAAAAACAGTAAGAGTAGGGAAATAATAAAAACACTATGTACAAGAGAAAAAAACAGTAAGAATCCACAACAACACAAATAGTAGCAGCATAACACAAATAGTAGCAGCAAGGAATATTATATAAGATAAGGAAAACGCTCTAATTAGTGTACGGTTTGCAACTGGATTATCGCCAAGTGTAGTGTATATATACAGCATGTTTACATTAGCATACACTGTGCCACATAGCAGACATGCAAAAAAAACATACTTACATGTTGCTGCACAGAAACATGACATCTGTCATCCTGTAACTACAGTGTTTGTTGACAATTATAGGCACATGTATGCTCTTCATAGCTACCTGTCTGCTTTATGCAAAAATATGATCTTATCACACAGAAGAAATCTAGATACAAATGTTTGATTTGAATGTGTGTAATCTGGAGAGTAAAGCTACTATACACTCAGTTTTACACATTGACAGTATATATAATGGATAGAGCTTCCGGGACTGAAAAGTAAAGCCTGCGTTTAAGTGTCTTAAAACCTGTATTTTATGTAAAGGCCAGAAGGGGGAGCTCCAGTGGCTGCAATAACATACCGATACCATTCACGTTAATGGAGAATGAGCCAAGTTTATGGTCTCAATCGCTTGTTTCAAGTCTTCTTCCATACATTATGATGTTCATTTAGTAAATTATGGTCAAATTTTGAATAAAATAGATGATAAAGCTGCGTATGCTTTTGGACGTGACTATGTTATGATTGACAGGTCACTCTCTGTCCAGTGCACCACACAAAAATCAGCTCAAACTGTAAAACATATTTTAGTGTACTGTTTAGCTATAATACGAGATTGTGTGTGGTAGCCACTGGCTCAAAATGGCAATCCACAAACCAATGGGTGACATCACGATAGGTTCACACTTGGTTGTACCGTAGGGCTGTCACTTTTCCAAAAATCAAGTTTGAATGCATTTGACGCAATTTGTTCGAATGAATTTGAACAAATCATTTTAAAACACATAGTACATAACAAAACAACAACAAAAGGATTAGTTGCAGTCTGTAGTGATTTTCTTCATTAATGGTTCACAGTAAGTTTGATGAGCACAAACTACAATTCCCCATCCCCAATTTGTCTCAGTAATCAGATTTTGTGTTCATTAATAAAAAGTAATTGCTTAATTTTAATTTAATTTAATTTAATTAAATTCTCTCTAATAATCATGTTTTAGTTTTTTCCAACCCAATGTGTAATACAGTCTTGCTTGTGGTTCTTGTAAATGCCATCTAAATGGACTGTTTACGACTTCTTTTCAGAGGTTTAGAATTTTTACTGCAAAACTGATAATGGCAAATCGTGTAATCTTGGTAGTATGTGTTTGGGGCAGAATGCGTCACATGTATGAAAAATGGATACAAAAGCCTCAGTAAATCTGGTGCTGAATGTATTTGCAGATGGTCAAAAGATGATGGTTACTGTTTTATAGCATAGAAATACCCCAAATATTATTAGAATATTTCCACTATTTTTGGTTTTTACAAGTTTTAACGTTACATGTTTTATTTCTTCCTTCCAGGGGCTAGTTAAGTATCAAATTAGTGTTGACCTGAAACAGTCAAAAGAAAGATTTTTCCAGCCACTGCACTCAAACCCTCATCCAATTTTCAGCCGCTCAGAGATCAGAGTCCATGCTGCAGGCAAGCAACTGGCGCCACAATATATTTTGTTCACAAGTCATAAAAGCAAACACTGCAGAATTATTTGCATGGTGAGATTGTGCCTTTTTTAGTGGACCTGTATTGTGGATCTCATCTAGCTGTTGTGAAAATGTGACCTATATTCTTGTTTATTACCCCATAAGCTGTACCAGAGACCTATTGATGTTGTAATTCCTTAGCTAATAGAGGTTAATGAAAGTCATAAATTACTGAATATCAGGTGCGCGAATTCTGTCAGACATCCTGACAAGTTAAGTGTCAGACATATTAATGCTCAGCTCAAAAAGGATTAAATTGATTCCACAAATGCACAAACACATTTTTCATTTCTCCATCCTCTTCCTCCAGGGTTGTCCCAGCCTCGGCCCCCGGAGCAGCAGTGCCTGTCCCTATCCCCCTCCTCCCCTCTTGGACCAGCAGCTCAGCGTGGTGAGGCCAGGAACGATGGGTCGGAAGCTGGACCTGACGGGCCTGACGGACGATGAGGCGGAGCATGTCTTAAAAGTGGTCCAGCGGGACATGAAGCTGCGAAAGAAGGAGGAGGAGAGGCTGAGGTGAGATGGGATTCCCCTGCCAGCGTTTTTTCTAGTTTTTTACACATTTGATGCGACACATACAGGGCGATTTGAGAAAAGATGATAAGGAGAGATGTGACTTGCCTGTGAGCAGAATGACCAGATATAGTGATGTACAGCTGGCTCCATTCACAAAGACATATCCTTATACGCCCTTGTTACTTGACAATCATTTTATTGCTTAAATGATCTAATAAAGCAAAAAAGCTAACATATCTGAAATGTGCTGCCATGTTAAACGACTGTTTGTCCAATCATAGTTGTAACATTAACTGTAACTGTGCAGTAGTGTTTCCCTGCTGGTCCCACCTGCAAGTTCTCGCTCCGCCCTTAGACTTTACATTATGATTGTGTCACAATATAAAACCTCCAAAAATTCATAATAGATAGAGTCATAATTGACCTTGTTTGCAGTTTGAATTAAAAGAGTTAAAAGAAATCAATAAACTTTTGGTGGTGGCAGCAGGGGAATTTTTTTGCTGCAATACTGCGACTTGCCATTGAGCAAAACTGGAAACAATGCCGAGCGGTAATGCAATATCTAGTTCTTATAATACATATATGGGTTAGAAGGCATGTAAAAAAGTTAAATTGTACAGGACTGAAACTCGACCTGTAGGCACAACAGTAGTAGACTATATCAGAGTTAAGAACTGGTGAGGACATTTTGCCTGGGACATGTAACTTTAGCCTTAGACTTTTAGTATTATATAATGCTTTGTATCATATATCAAGCCATCATTTTAAAACAAATCAGCTGGAGAGGGAGATTTCAACCAACTCACAGAGTTTTAGCATTAGCATGAGCTTACATTGGCTCACTACAGCAAAATAATTTCCAGTTGTCGGACAGAAATAAGAAGTGTGCTTTCCTGTACTTTTGTGTGAAATCTAACCCCATGAATTTCAAGTGGTAAAACTCTGACTGTATAATTGTAAACTACAGATGCAGCGTGCAAGAAAAGCTTGACAGGCATAGCAACAGTAACTAAGGGGTTTGGGCATTAGTGAATTATCAATTCCAGGTTATAAGCAAACTCAGAAAATAACAGCAAATCTGCACAAAACACTTCACAGGAAATGTAATCCATGTGATGATGAACTAGGACAGCTTTACTTGCAGATGATTTATTTAATCCATTTCATTTGATTGATTTGGCCAACAAACAATCCCCAAAGTAAGTGTTTATCTGGTAGTTATTCATGTAAGTAAGCCCAGCAATGTCATATATCCTGTGTGCAAAACACCAAAACACTTTCAATCTGTAAAGACTTTGGTTGCCATTATAAACCGCAATAATACTTCTATTTATCAGATATTGTACTTGAAGTCTGTCGTTGTGATATCTGATTGAAATATAGAAGCATACAGCTGCTCGTGCTTTGTTTTCAGCTGCAGTTATTTATTCACAGGACTTCCCACAGTTTGGTTTGTCAAGGCACAGTCAGGGGCTGTAAGGAGGAAGATACTTGTCTTGTATTTTCTGCTCGCAGGCTGGCAGGTTTGTGGGGGTCAGTCGGTCCAGGCCTCAAGGCTCTGCTCTGGTGTCACAGCCTCTTACTTAACATGTGACAAGTACTGGCCTGTTCCTCCTCCACCTCACCTCCTGTCCTTCACTCCCTCCCCTCCCCTCCCTGTGACAGCCTGTGGTCAGAGGGGATTCAGTTCGGTTGTGACAGCCCTCCATTGGGGGTTTGGCCATCAAATATGTGGTCAGATCATTGTGTCTGCTTTGTGTTGTTTCAGCAGGACTACAGGGGGAAGTTATAGTGTTAAAACGCTAGTGTTTTTAATGTCACAACAAAATCCAAAATATGATTTAAGTGTGGTTGTACCCTATAATTTTGTAAACACAGATATGCTTCTTTGACTACCTACCAGGCTCCAGCATCAACTATTTTGCTGTGGAGATTTGATGTCTTTCTTCAGATTTGAATGGTGGTCCTTGTGGTTTTGTGTTCTTGGGGGGATGCCATGAGTGATTAGACTGCTTTACTTAGAGCACCAAACATCTTAGCTGTACTCTGAGGAGCACTGCAAAGTTGCTTTACAAACCAGAAAGCAGGCGTTGGTCTGCGCAGCTTGAAACTCAACTTATTTTCCCAGAATCATTTTCAAAGCAAAGATGCTGTATTGCCAAATTACTGGGCTGTAAAGTGTTCTCCCATTAAGCTGTCATGAATGATCAAAAAGAATTTCTGCCTTTCAGGCTATTTATTGCTGCTGTTCACTGCAAAAAGATGAGCAGATTAATGTTGATGTAGTAGCAGGGAGATATTTATTAGGGAACAGTTGTTCATAAAAGCAATCAGGCTCTATGTTTGTAGAGTTATATTGACTTGTTAGATGTTTTAAAAGCAAAGTTACCAAAGCAGATATTGGATGCAAACTGACAGTCAAATTAGCTTGTTAGCTTGCAGCTAAAACTGCTGATTTGTTACACGATCGCACATCTGCCATACAGATTTATGTTAAATATTGTTTGTTTCATCAGGCATTGCCTTCTGAAAACCTAATTGATGCCTCGACTCCCTCCTATCAGCGATTGTCTCACGTCTCTTTTTTTAATTTACTCACAGGGATGGAAAATGTAATCAGATGCTTTAACTAAGATCCTTTAAGTGTATAATAACATACTGTAAAAATACTCCAATACAAGTAAGTTCTGCCTCCAGTATGTTACTGACTAAGTAAAAGTACTGTAAGCAAAATATCCTTTAAGTCTTAAGTATCGCCCCCCTTTCATACATTCATATTATTATGCAATATGTGCTGTATTATATACTGCGACATAATTGTTAATTAAAGGTAATTAGGTAAATAAATCTGGTATCCTGATATTCTTTTGACAATTTTGATAATTGGTTAGTTGTTTAAGTCATTTTTTAAGCAAAAATGCTTCTCAAATGTGAATATTTGCTGGTTTTCTTCTTCTCTGGTCTTCTCTCAGACAAGACAATTATTTTCTGACAGAGAGAGATTCTGCGGATTAATCAATAATGAAAATAAACATGAGTTGAAGCCCTATTTTCCACCACTGTTTATTAAGTAGCACAACAATACAAATACTGTATATATGATTTATTATTTATCAGTATTCTTACAACCCAGATTTAAGAGATTGTGATCTATTGTGAATATCTCTGATATTAGAACCTAATTTTATTTCACTGAATTCCAGGGTATCAGTGGATTCACTTAAGCATTTGAAGTAGTACTCACTACTAAATGCTATTACTTCATTACATGTCCATGGTCACTGTCGGGTTCTGGTGGCCTTTCCTGATGTTGAGCTGTTGTCTTATGAATTATATTTAGCATCAATCCCTTTCTTTTACTGTATCTGATTAAAGGAAGAGTGCTTGTGTGCTGCGCTTTGAGTTCTCTTCTTTCGTACAATGCAGCTAGTTAAGAGAGATGAAAATAGCATTTCATACCCCTCAGTGTTGCCGCCACCGGTCAGGTTACAGAAAGAGACAGAAAACCCATTTGCCTTTCATCTGACATGCAAAATGTTTCACAGTTTACAGTATATGAATAGGAATATGAAAGCTTGCTTACAGCAGATGGTGGTTGAGTGTTTCAGCACATAGCCTTCTCCCTGTGGGGTTTTCTCCTCCATGCATGGCTGACATTTGTTTTTCTTCCTTGAATGAAGTCAGCCCTGCAGAGTTGTAAATTACCCTGTTGAAGGATTCATGGCATTCTTTATAAGCCTCAGCTGCCACTTTAAATGCTCCATTTTAATTTGCCACCATGCTGAATAATAAGAAATGTTGAAACACTTAACTGATATTACCTTATGTCTCATAAATACTGAACTCTTATAAATATGTAAATACATTGACATACACAACTATGAGTCTAGTTTGGGGCAATCTGCACAGTTTTTTAGTTCAAAAAGTTTTAATGTGGGCAACTGCAGCTTGTTTATGATGCCTCTGCACTTTCATGCTTTTATCATTGTATGTGGGACTTTTTATTATCATTTCTATCATCATAGCTATCCTTACATGAGAACAAGGCTCTATTAACAAGAAAATACAGGGTTAAAAATGTTTTTGTGTAGTGTTTTTACTAAACATTTTTTTAGTTTGACATATTGTATCATTTTTATGCTGATGAAATGCCGCTGTACTACACTATCAAAAGTAGTTTGACTGACATAATGATTGCCTGGCTTCTATTTGTTTTTCAAATGAAACAAAGGTCTTTATTATTGGCACTGCAATAAAAGAATTCAAAAGACATTACAGCAGGGATCTTAAGCCTATAATTTCAAATGGTACAATAACAACAAACATTAGTGCCACCCACATCAGCCAGTATAAGTGAAAACACCTGTGTGTGTGTGTGTGTGTGTGTGTGTGCGTGTGTGTGTGTGTGTGTGTGTGTGTGTGTGTGTGTGTGTATGCAGGGGCTTTAATACACTTTTTCCTGCTGCTGGTTCAAAATGCTTCAGCTCGTATTCTATCAAAGAGCAGGGAGCGCATTACCAGTGTTGGCCTCCCTCCAGTAGGATACCATGCAAAGTTTTTGACCACCGGTAGCACTATGGAGAGATGTTATTGTTGACTGTTTGTGGCGGTAGTGTAGCAATGTGTAGCAATGTGTCATCAAAGACAAAGAAGAACACTGTAAACAAGCACACATGTGTAAACAATGTAGATTTGTAGGTTACTACAACAAATCTGCAGGAAGAAAATGCATTCAACATATTTATTAAATCACAAACATACACAAAATGCGTATTTGTGAGAAACCTTTGCAGTAAACACAACAAAAAAACAGGGCTCCTATAACTGCTAGTGGACGTAAGAATAAAAAAAAATAAAAAAAAGATAATTATCTTATTTTTGAGTTGTTGTGTCCATATTCACGTGAGGAGTTTCATTTCTGCTAACCAATGTCTAGTGGATGTCCCAAGAGCTCGGCTTGGACTGCACCTTCGTTGTCTTTGTAGTAGTAGTTGACTTTT